AAGAAATGCAATGATTTCGGCACATGTTCGTCCTTAGTCCCACCTGAAAATAATGTGCCAATAGAAGCCGTGGACAAAGTTGGAAATTCAAGCAAGGGTAATGCTACTAAAAGTGTTTCTTTTACTCTAACGTATGATGCATCCGCAGGTAGGGGGATCGATCAAATTCCTTTTCCTGCTTCGGAAGCAGAGGGAAAATCTGGTATCTGTAAGAGGAAAGGCAAGATGCCTAAAGTTGATAATGGGCAGGCTTCTCTATTTCCTTGGAATGGCATGTTCAGGAAAAGTCCAAAGACAAGGGAAGATGTAGAAATCATGCAAATTGGGCATCCATTTCATCTGGCAGAAGATGCATCCGCTGAAAAAGGGCTGGATCTTTCTCTTAACAGCTATTTGGCTGCAGAAAGATGCGGCAAGAAATCTATTCCCCAATCTGAAGATGGATTTCCTTCCTTGTCCACTTGGAAAGATGGCAGCTGCAAATTAGATGTGTTTATGAGGAAAAATGTGGAAGCTAACTATGCTGCAAATCTGAAACCTTCTAAATCTATTTCAAATGCATTTTCTGGGAAAGGAGGACATGGTGAACTTAGTAGTAAATTTTACACTTATACCATGCCTATCCTGAATGAGGAGAAAAACTATACCTCCTCACAAATAGCACAGTTACGTTATTTTTCAAAAAAAATAAAACCCAATCTCATAGGGTGTTTTGAAATCAGTCTTAAACAGCAAGCGAAGCAGATTTGAAGAATCCATAGATATAGTTTGCTTAAAGACGATAGAGATTATAAAGGATGAAACATTAGAAACAAAACCACATCTAAACATCTAAAAAGTCAGTGCCTATGAAATAGAAAATGCTTGGCTGAGAAAAATATCTGAATCCGAATTCGTTCAGTATAATTCAAGGAATGGACTTCCCTCCCCAACAACCTAGGTTGGTTGCAGAAAATGGTCTATCATTTGGGATTATCGATGTTCAGTCAATTAACTGGGCAAGCGACGAGGACGAAGAAGTGGCAGAGGAAGGAGGAGGGCATCATCTTCTCCTTCTCCTCCTTCTTCATCGTCTCCTCCAACATGAAACGCTTTTTGTCCTTCGCCAAGCCGTACGAATGGTCGTTGAACAGCCCGGACAAGTCCAGTCCAGCCGAGAACGATTTCAAATCGAACGCGTTCAAACAAAACTGGGTGTTCTTTCAAAAAGAACTGGGCGTTCAAACGGCTTGAGCTTGTTCTTTCAAATCGAACGCGTTCAAATCGAAGGGTGTGAGGAGGGTGGGTTGGAGGTTGGGTTGGAAGGGAGGGGATGGAATGGGGCTGTTTGCGTCTTTTTACCTATTTCTATTTTTTTTCATTTTAATGATTTTAATATTATTTAATATTTATTTTTAACATGTATATAATTTTTTATTATTTATTTGTCCACCTATAAGTTCACGTCAATTAAAAAATAGAATCCACATTTGTCATGTAGGCAGATAACGGATTTCCTGACGGACTAGCTAACGGAGGGGGCAATCTGTAGGTTTTCCTCAACGTTGAGTATGTACCCATAAATGTCCCTGAAATCTGGTATGGACTCGTAAATGACCCTATAGATTGGGAAGTTTACTGTAGTTTACCCAAATAATTGTTATTTTAGATTAAGCCAAAGAGGAGGCCCAAATTAGTTAAGTCTGTCTAAATTATAAAGGTAAAATACAATTTTACCCTTTTGTTTGTTAATTACAATATTGCTTTTGAGAAACATATCCAGCGATTCATCGCTTCGCTTCTCCAGCATTTATTAATATTCTAGAACTTTCTTCTAGTCATTCACTATACACTCTCGCTCGTTCTTCGTTGAGTGGCAGGCGCTGTGAGAAAAGTTGGACGATTTTCTTTCATCATTTCAACGAATCAAGAACTGCAAAAGTACGTACGCATTATTTGAGAAAGGAAATTTACTCTGCTGCCTTTCTTTCACTTCCATTCACGTTTCAATTTCAGTTTCTTTCTTGTTAAGATTTTCTTCATCTAATTTGTTATATACCATCCTAAAAGTTTGAATAAAAAACTTAAGGCTTTCAGGCGAGATGAGGAAACCACCAATGCCATTGCAGAATCTGTATTACAAGAAGATGCAGTTGCCAGAACATCTTTGCAGGCTGATGGAAGAGCAATTGGAATAGACACGAAATGAAAGAATCCCTGCAGTTGGTAAGAAGAAAATTAAGAAATGCAATGATTTCGGCACATGTTCGTCCTTAGTCCCACCTGAAGATAATGTGCCAATAGAAGCTGTGGACAAAGTTGGAAATTCAAGCAAGGGTAATGCTACTAAAAGTGTTTCTTTTACTCTAACGTATGATGCATCCACAGGTAGGGGGATCGATCAAATTCCTTTTCTTGCTTCGGAAGCAGAGGGAAAATCTGGTATCTGTGAGAGGAAAGGCAAGATGCCTAAAGTTGATAATGGGCAGGCTTCTCTATTTCCTTGGAATGGCATGTTCAGGAAAAGCCCAAAGACAAGGGAAGATGTAGAAATCATGCAAATTGGGCATCCATTTCATCTGGCAGAAGATGCATCCGCTGAAAAAGGGCTGGATCTTTCTCTTAACAGCTATTTGGCTGCCGAAAGATGTGGCAAGAAATCTATTCCCCAATCTGAAGATGGATTGGAAAGATGGCAGCTGCAAATTAGATGTGTTTATGAGGAAAAATGTGGAAGCTAACTATGCTGCAAATCTGAAACCTTCTAAATCTATTTCAAATGCATTTTCTGGGAAAGGAGGACATGGTGAACTTAGTAGTAAATTTTACACTTATACCATGCCTATCCTGAATGAGGAGAAAAACTATACCTCCCAGATTGAACAAGGGAGTTGTTCTTTGCAGCAAATGGTAAGAGCTTTTCTCCTCTTACGGTTAAATTCATTTAATTATAATTGGATTTTTGCTCTTTCGTTGGGCTTCAACCTCACCAATTTGAAGAGTAGAGGCTACCTAGATGAGGAATTGGGAGGGCAAGAGAAGAGTAGAACTACCCAAGAGCAAGGGAACTCAAAATTAGACTTTTAGAAGCTGCATTGCAGTTTTCATTTAATTACAATTGGATTTTTGTTCTTTCCTTGGCCTTCAACCTCACCAATTTGTAGAGTAGTGGCTACCCACATGAGAAATTGACTGGACTGGTATCTGTTCTCTTACTCTTCCTCAATTTCAAGGCCTGGTTTGTATTCTAAACTCACGTCGAAAATGACCGGACAACTTGGAGCCACCCTTGGCCTTCCTGGAGCTGAATTGAGACCCTTGGGAAACGGCAACTAATCAAAACCAGAGTAAAAGCACAAAGGTTAGAACTATCCTGCTGTGAATTCATAGAAGCACTTGCAATTGGTGGTTGGAAGATATCAAAGCCAATACAATCATGACTGTTAAAGTTTCAACTTAATCGCACAGAAGAAGCATAACACATAATGCCTCGAACAGGTTCAAGGTTTTTGAATACCATTTTTTTTTCCCTTTTTCTTTTTTCACTACTAAAGAAATGATAATTGTCAGTAGGCCAAAGTTTCAGAAGCCTGTAGCCTAATAGAGGCAAAAGAAAACCCTGCCAAATAGAGAAAGCAAAATGCATCTCATCCTTCTCTTCGATAAACCTTCCATGAGGAGCTGTTATTAATAATATCTTAGTTTTCCAGGTAATGATACATTTGTGAGCACCCAGCCTAAAAAGATTTGCATAAGCTGCATGGCTAAGTTATCTCATAAACACTGTGATAAATGAAATTTTGCACCTATTTACAGGACGGGAAAGTATTCAACTAGAAAAGAATTCCAAGGAATAAATGCTCATATAATTGAAAATAATTTCTTCTTTTCTTTTCTGTTTTTTTTTTTAAGAAAGATAAATTTCCCTTAGAAGGAGTGGCATTGTGTGTAATTTTGATTTTTTTTAATTTTATTATTATAAAATTAGGTACTACTTTTTGGTTTTTGGCCTTATGTTAATTAGATGAAATTGTATTCCTATATTCCAAATTAGTAAACTATATTGTATTTTAAAACTAAAGCTCCCATATAGTATCATATAATATATATTAGTTGTAAAATAAAGTTTTGTCAATTTGCTTTGTTACAAGTAACTTAGGTGAAAATTATATATTTATATGTGCAAGGCATTTTAGTAATCAAATTAGTTTAGGCTATGATTCATGAGAATGAGTAAACAATGACAACGGGAATCAACTTCATTCATGTGTAGCTTCCATATTATTAGTAAACAGCTTAATGGGAATTATTCTTCTCATACCAATTCATTACTTCCCTTATTCCTAAATTTCCCGATTCCTTACTTTCTCCATTCCTGATAAGTAAACGGCCCCTAAAGTCTACAAGTTTAGCAAATGAGAATGTGCCCGGTGGTTTCCTCAATATAGGCTATGCTGGCATGCAGGAGGGTTTCTAAGAAGCTTTGATGGAGGATGAGGTTTTTGGCTATGGTGGTTGGAGGGGAGAGCTTGAGGTTGTGGCTTACGGTAGCTCGAATTTTCTCTAGAGCAATTTGAATTGAGGCTTAGAAGAATGGTTATGGCTCTGGCTTTTATGTATGCTAGTGCTTGGGTGAAGGGTTCTCCAAGACGTTTCAAAGCTTGGGGATTTAGTCATGATGTTAATGGGTTTCAAAGGGTAAGAGAGTGGAAAGCATAAGGCTTCTCTATATTTTTTGGGCATCGACAAGACAATGTCGAACAATTAAAAATCCAACATTATCAAACTATGAAGGCGTGACAGGGTTTTGTAGGTTTTATGTTATGGTGTGCCAAAATTGTTGTGTGTGTTTTGGTCTTTTGTTTTTGGGTGTCTTGCTTTCTATAGCACTTGAAACTTTTGTTTTACGTTCTCTGTTCAACAGATGATGAACAATATAAGATGTTCTGCCATTGTTGTAACTGAGTATTGGACTACACTGGAGAGTGTAAATAGTGCTTCTCTTAACAAAAGATTATTTATATCCCTCATCAGTAGATGTGATTAAACTTGGGGTGTTTGTGTGATCTTACAATACAAATATATACATCACCCATCACTTGATCTACAGCCAATGCAGCAATTGACAGACTACAAAACAAAGAGGACATTTTACATCTTCCAAAGTAGAAGCCTACAAGCCGATATATGTCTTACATATGCGTCAAATGTGGGGTCTCCTCTATCTGAAGCACAAAGATGGTTACAGCAAAACTATCTTTCCACGGCCACTGCAGGTAAGGCATGATCGGGCAGAGGAGCACTTTGTACAGTAGCTCCATTTCTTTGGAAGCCTGATGCCATTAAGGAAGAATTCTGACATTAATGGAACCCAAAGTGTTTGCTGAGAGAGAAAGAGAGAGATAGTGGAGAAGGAAAAGTGAGAGAAACTCAAAAGAAAGTGTACCCTGCTGTGTATCGAGTGGCCATATTCTTAGAAGCCAATCTTGCCCTCTCAGCACTTTCATCTGAGAGTCTCTTAAGAACGAAGCCTTCACCTTTGCATTCAGGACATATACCAGAACCACCACAGGCTTCACAAATTTTCATAGGAACCTGCACTTCTGAAAAGTAGTTCATTTGGAGAGAGAGCTCAAGCATAGGAAAAGAGACAAGGCACAGTCATGACTGCCCGCTCATTACTTTCCTCTCACTGTTGAATATGACATATCATGTCTTTGTAAACTACTTTCCCACCTCAGTTAGATGAAAGTAGTGCTCAGTTAAGTTGAGTTGATTTCTTTGTTTTAGAATTAAGTACATACCTCAGCTGCCTCAGAAGCTTTGGTTCTCCTCACAAGAATGGTAGCTGCTGTACCAACAACTGCAGCAGCAATTGCTATTGAAGCCGCTGTTTCAGGTAGAGCAGCAGATACCAAGGATTGTCTTCTTCTTTGCTTTTGCAGCTTTACATTGACTGAAGAACAAAAGTTAGGATCCAGCCATTAAAGTGCATTATATCATAAGACAATTCAGCCAGCAACGCTAATCATTCAACAATATAGCCTTATACTTTAAGAAACATCAAAACATATGAACCAGGAAGAAATTTTTCCAGGTAATTTAACTAAGTTCTTGCTTGCTGATGGAGGATTTCACAAACTTGGTTAAGCATTGTAAAAAATTAAAAACTATCTACCATAGTAAGTGGCATGTATTGTAGCCTGAATTGTACAAAAGAAAGCTGAAGTATCAAAGAACAAAAACATGGAAATTCCATGATGTTATGATTTGTATGTTTCAATTACACTTCTTATAAGCTCCCACTCTGCATATTTCGTGTTTTAATTTTTAGCTCACCAGCCTCAAATCCAGACGACTGATACAGTAAAACTTAGTATGATAATTAGGTGTAATAACACATTGTTTTCCATCCCTAAATTTAAGTAACAGATTAGATCAGTTGTCCAATAGAGCTAAACGAATATCACTCAACACTGCAGAAACCCGCCCAGACTTGGTAAAAAAACTATTTAACTTTAGGTACATGGGCATATATAGACAACAATGTATAGAGTTCTGTACTAGTTGTTGTGCCAGTTGGATCATGTGTACCGGGAAAGAAATAGACAAGTCCAGGACCCCCACATGATACATGTGAGCGCTTAAGTCTCAAGAGAAGTTGAATGAAAAAACAATTTCCTACACAAATGGTAAAGCTAATTATGGAGTATTCAACATAGCCTAACATATTTCCAGCCTTCACAAGGTTCAGGCTCCTCCTTGTTCCCTACCAGTCGCATTAAAGTTCAACCTAAATCCTAAATATCACCATCTTGCTCCCTCCACCCCATCTTATCTTTTTCACTCTCCATCTCCCTAAAGATGGTGTGCTCAATAGAATCTCTAAACCCATATTAGCACAAGAAACAAAGTCTTCACTAACCAAAAGCAAGTAACAGAAAAGAACCCACTAGTGTAGTGGTTTGGAGTAATTGCTCCCCCAGACAAGGTTCTAGGTTCGAGTCCTCGTATCCTGAAATAAAGAACACTTTTAACTCCTAGAGAAGAAGCTATCCACCAAACCAAACAAACCAAGAAGCACCATCCAGCAAGATCAGATTGACATTATGGTGGGCTTTATTGAGCATTTGAGAGTCATTAGGAAGTGGGTTCTAATGATTTGGCTATGCCACCATACCCATTCATTGTAATCTTTATGGAGGAAGGTTGCTGTTGAAATGGTTTTCATAATTAGAACAGATAAAAAGATGGCCCTTTTGTTAATGACATTTTCATAGAAATTAAGAGTTGTTGAAGGTGTTGAATTGAAGGGATACCAATAAATGGGGAAACTTAAAATTTGATGGTGGTTAAAGAATAGATGGCTTATCTCGTTTGTCTCATGTCTTGGACACATTTCTGCTGCTTACCAACCTCCAGTACCAAGATTTAAAATTTCTAAAATGAAATCAATCAACAACCTTCACTTCCCATGTATTAACACTCTCATGAAATGGAAAGATATGCAGGTGCACAATAAAGACATACATAACGGCCATGGAAGTTGAAGTTTGATGCTTGAAATAAACCAAAAATAGGGTTATCTTACTCTGAGGAAGGGAAGAAAATGATAGTTTGCGCACAGCCAGCTCCATCATTTACTGTGCTTCCGAGTATGGCAAACACCAGGCTCCGAGGAATATAATTTGCTCTGGTCTCTTAACTGCCTTATCTGCGGGGGCTGGTCTCTATTTGCCATTGATTATGTATACAATTTCAGAACTGCCATTTTATTTTTGGAATTCAAAATTAGACATGGCATTGGTAAGGGTTTGGGTCGTGTTGGATTGTGCGAAAATATCTAAACCTAACACGATCACACATTAAGCTAACGAGTGAAGAAATGCAAAAATTGAACCCGTTTCAACCTGTGCCCCAACTCGTGACCCAAATCCATTGAAATAATTTTAGTAAATAAATAAATCACTAAAAGAAGTAGCTAATAGATTCACTCATTTTCAACACCACCCAATAAACTTTAGCCATAACATTGATGTTTTTTGTGAGTGTTCATCTTATCTTAACAAGCCGTATACATTTTTTTTTTTTTAATCTACTCAAATCGTGCATAACCCTAGTAGAAATTGGTTGAAAATGGAACATACATGTGACTCAATTATGCTAAAGCTCACACATTAAAATTGAATGTACCAAGGAGCACTCCACGACTAATCTTTTTACATGCAATCATATTTGAACAACATGTAGGGTAAATTAATATATTTTTTTAGGTTTGAAGTTTAAACTAAGGATGTTTAAGTTTTCAACTCGTTTCTTGCTTATTCTTACTTTTGAACCTCCCGTATATAAGGGTAAAGATGTCTTTGACACTGAACGTACATATTTCTCCAACAACAAGAAGAATAAAAAGAACACATAAATACTTCTTTACCATAATATCAATTCTTGAAAGTTGGTATTGTCTACATCACTAGAGTAAGTATATGTCCTACTGCACTGAGAACATTAATCTTTATGTGAAATGTAGTTGCTGATCTACAATTCTCAGAAGAGGCAAATTAAATTTCATATAAGTTGTTAAACCCACGATGCAAAAGATGTCAATGGATAGTGGTTGCAGCAATCAAATTAATTCCTTCATAAATATCTTTAATGTCTTCTTCTTCTTCTTCTGTGGGAGTAAAGCTTCTCAATTGCTTCATTATTTGCATTTTGTTTGTTGGAGAGGCAATTATTAGGTGGTATAGACTTTATTATAATTCATAATATGCTTTTTTTTTCCTTCTGGAATTAAGAAACATCCTAATTATCTTAAAAAAGGAAGTAGTTGGGCAATTTTTGAATCCTTGTTACTCTACTATTTAGTAGTTGCTTGCTTATGGGTAGATGCTGCTAATGCGATCATGTGGCGGCGTTACGGTCATATTTAAAAATTATCCTTATTAACAAGTTTTTAAAGAGAACTTCCTAAATATTATTTTGTCATACAAGTTAAATCTAACTTTCATGTATTTTAATTAAGCACCTCTGTTTTCGTTCTCTGTATGTTTGTTCAATTTATGTTCTCTTTTTTTCAGATTTCTTATAACAAAGGTACAAAAGGTGAGTGTACTGCAGATACTTCTTAAATCCTAAAGTTGTTGGGCTTCTATGAAGTTTCCTTTCAACCAAAATTTTAAATTTTAAAAAAAAAAAAAAAAATTTGTCACTTGGCGCCTCTCTCTCTCTCTCTCAAAATCAATTTCACTTTTTTTGGGTTTGGAAAAAGGAAAAAAATTGAATTGATCGTGAGTTAATAATGGGAAGATATAGAGGGCCGGGTGCAAACCGTGCCATATGACAGAAGCTCACGGGCATCCTCCTTTCTCAACAGTCTAAAAAAGCACCCACCACACACCAACTCATATCATATCATCAGTCAATACTCATCACCACCACCACAACCCCAAAACTAATATTTGCATTTGAATTTGCTAGCGATGAGCTGTGCACCCTCTGCCTTGTTCAGCTACTCACGAGCCCATTTAAGACCCCTTTTCAATTTCACCTCCTTTTCCGCAACACTAGCCCCATAAATAAAACCCCCTATAAACCCCTCTCACCCTCAAACCAACTCTCAAATTTACATTACATTACATTCCTCACAAACTCAGAAAACCCTCACTCAAAAACATATTTCAGACATGTCCTCCTCTATTCTCTGCATTGCCCTCATATATTCCCTGCTCTTCTTCACTTGTTTTGACGTCTCTTTGGCTGCAAGAAACATCCCATCTAGCGCCCCGAGCACAATGGTGAGGCCTTTGGTCAAGGAGGGGCTAGATCACTATGTGGGCATGAAGCCTCAGGACTTGAATCACAAGCAACAAGTTTTTCATGGGAGGGAAGTGAAGGGTTGCTTGCCAAAAGGGTTTAGGCATGCCTCTGCTCCAAGCCGATATGTGAACTATCACGCACTTGGCCAAGGCTGTTCTTCTATGCGCTCCAAGAAACCTTGATGGGGAGGACTGGGGAAAAGGATTGAAGTGGTGTTTTGCATATGATTTCCGCGTTTTATGAGTGGTGGATTAATGGATTGTATGTGCGGATTATACATATTACAAAGTGTCTCTCACAATATTATGCATGTGAGTCTCACTAGTTTGTGGTGAATTTACTCGCGTATTGTGAGAGTAATTTTATATAACTGGCACTTATGAAGATTCCTAGAAAGGGATGGAATTGAGAAACGTATAAGTGTTAAGTATACTTTTGAGTAATGATGGTTAAATGAAAAGTGGTTTATTTAATTTATTACGTTTATTTTTCACCCATATCAACAAGTTTTTGAACCAAAGAATCTCCCATGCGCCATTTTCCTTTTCTTTATTTTTATACCGCTGTCCTACGTTTTGATCACAGAATGCAAAAGGCAAATATTTGGCCGACTTTGAATCTCCAGCAAAAATTTCATATGAATTCTTTATAATAAATAAATAAAAAGTTCATTTCACGTGAATAGTAAGATTGTGTTTACATCATGGTTAAAAACTGGTGACTGATTTCCCTAGCTTGGGGTCTCTCCCTAGCTTGGGACTCTGGGTTTCGAACTGTAGAGGTGGAAAGTGATTCCAAGGTTGCTGTGACTCTTCTTCATTCTCTCACTATTGCTACCCACCCCCTGTTCAGTATCATCAATTGCTGCAAATTAAAAATGAGTGCTGATTGGGTTTGCTCAGTTAGACACATCCTTCGTGAACAAAACTGTGCAGCTGATGCCTTGGCTGCTATTAGTTTTGATTTTAGTCCTGGTCTGCATATCCTTGATGAGATACCAGCTTGCATTGTTGAAATCCTGGCTGCTGATGCAAGGGGTGACTTTAGGCCTCGTCTTCTCTGCTTCTAGTTTTGCTGGCTTGTGTTCTTGGGCGTTAGCCCCCTGTTACCCCCAAAAAAAAAAAAAAAACTGGTGACCGATTTCCGACATTTCTCTTAATTTTTGACAGTCATCGTCCATGACACCAGGCACTAAAACCTGGCCCATCTCAAAGGGTGAGAAGTCATGCACCTGACTTGAAGCCGGCCTAAAGCAAAATCACATGATCGGCAATTTGACCTGTAAAATACCTACAATTCTTGCAATATTTCAGTTTCTTTTGTCCATTAGGTGAAGGCTCGGGTAATTCCACAAAATCCAGCCACTCCAAAATAATTTAGAGCTGAGATTAAAACTACCCTCCCAATCCACTATAGATCATCCATAGACCAAAGTTAAGTAGGCACGGAAGCAGCGGACTCTATACTCACCACTCAAAGTCGCAATCCATCCCATCTGAAGAGGAACAACAAAGCAAAACTGGTAGCATCTAACTCGACTTCATCCAGTACAGACAACTTATCTATTTAAACAAAACAAATTCCATGAACATAGTAAGCGGCCTTTTTCAATCCATCCATCCATTGATTGATAGAAATAGATTAACAGCATATGAAACTTGAAACACCATGTCATCCTAGCAAACCCCACAAACTCTTTAATACACAGAAGACTAGTCATAACTATGAAAAGGAAAGGCTTCCTCCAGGGTGACAAGAGGAGCAGACAAAAGCATATCAGTAGACACAAATGTCACCCGAAACCATGCATATATAAATAAATATTAACTAACTATACAAATCATCTTCGTCAGCCCCACCAGCAGAAGTTGCGAATGGATCAGCACCAGTTGCCCCAGTTGGGTTATCAGCAAACCTAAACTCCGTTCCGAAACCCCTGGACTGCTGCAAGGTCTGAGCAAAGGCCTGATATTTGCGAATATCTGCATCGCTGACACTCCTACGAGCATATTTCATTGACTCCTCAAAATGAGCAGCTTTAATCTCTGCCACTTCGTCATCGATGTCCTCATCCATAGAATCTGGATTCTCCCCTCTCCTTCTCTCCCGCTCTATATCCTGCAATCACATCATGCGTTAATGATATATAGAACTTGTGCAGAATTTACGTTACATGCAGTGTCAATCCATGTCTACAAGGCTAGATAACCACATCCCAAGTTTTGGGATGTGAACCAGAGAGATTTGCATGTTTCATCAAATGGAACCACCCTGTTCAAAGCCATTCCCATTTTGCATAAAAATATTGCCATATAAAGCCCCTAATCGCTACAGCCAAAAGAGATGAGCACAATGAAATCAGATATGCAAGGCTTGAAAATCAAATTGGTAAGGTTCCAAGTTAACAGCTCTGAACAAGCAGAGCTTGTAGTTTCAAGAAATAACTTAGTTAAGCAGCCAGGATCAGTTATTCATGCGAGAACAAGTTTGTACTTCACATTGGTCAAGAGGAAAGGTACAATCATGAAAATGTAAGCTATCAACGTTTATGACCAGTATAAATGAGCAATATTAGGAAGGTGAAGAAGCAATAAGGACAAATGAGGAGATACCTTCTCAATATTCTCTCTTATGGCATACTTGCAGGACCGCTGGCAGATCTCTGTGATATCAGCCCCACTAAAGCCCTGTGTATACCTGGCCAATGCTCTCAAATCAACATCTTTTGAGACAGGTGATTTTCTCAAGCAGGATTTAAAGATTTGGAAACGCGATTCTTCATCAGGAAGAGGAATATAAATCAATTGATCAAGACGGCCAGGTCGGAGAAGTGCTGGGTCAATGATGTCAGGTCGGTTTGTGGCCCCAATAATGAAAACAGTCTTTTTTGCTGTCATGCCATCCATTTCAGTCAG